TACTACGTACATCCAGTCCATGCGAGCTTATGCGACTGGACTTGCCCTAGCCGTTGCTAGCGTTACTGACGCTGAGTTGGTCACGGTTTACCTTCGTGGTCTTGGTCCCGATTATCGGAGTTTGCAGCTAGGATTAGGGCTCGTGACGGCACTCTATCCCTTGAAGACCTTCTCGATCGCCTCGTTGCTCTTGAGGTTGATCTTTGTGCCTCTTTTCCTTCCCCTGACTCTCCGGCTACGACGTTTGCTACTCAGCAGGGACGTGGTCGCGGGCGTCGAGGCGGCATGCCTGGCCGTGGTGTTGGTCATGGCTCCACTCTGCCGCTATCCTTTTACTCTGGCTCTTGGGAATCTTCTCGTGCTGATGATGATGGCCGCCGCACACCTCGCATAGTGTGCCAATTTTGCGAGAAGTCGGGCCACTCCGCTCGCACATGTTTTCAGTTGTTTCCTTACAAGCACTCGCAGGCTAACAGCACTACTACTCCTTCTCGGCCGCGTCCGTCTGCGCCAGCAGAGGGCTCTTGGCTAATGGACTCGGTTATGAGTCATCATGTCACACCCGATCTTGGCAACCTGCACTTTATTAGGATTATAATGGTCCTGACGAGGTTTATCTCGGTGATGGTACAGGTTTGGCAATCACCCATATTGGTTCTTCTTCTCTTCCTTCTACTCATCATCTTACACTTAATAATACTTTATGTGTTTAGGGTATTCGTAAGCGGTTGATATATGTTGCCAAACTCTGTCGTACTAATCCAGTTTCGGTGGAATTCTTTGTCGATTTGTTTGTTGTAAAGGATCTAAGAACAGGGGCAGCGTTGTTGACCAGAAGGAACAACGGTGATACGTATGAGCTTGGTGGTGGTTCTGGATCTATCTGTCTTGCGCTGCTCACCACTCGCAACACTCCTGATCTGTGGCATCGTCGTCTTGCGCATCCGTCCTCTCGCTCTTTGTCTTGTTTACTTCGTGTCAATTCTCTTGCAGTTGTTAAATCGTTGTCTTTTTCTCATTGTAACTCGTGCATGTCCCATAAGAGTCCTAAACTACCATTTGGTGTTTCCAGTCTTTCTAGTACTTGGCCCTTAGATTTAGTTTTTTCTGACGTTTGGGGTCCTGCTATCTTGATGGTTTTTGCTACTACCATCAATCAATTGATGGTTTTTCCTACTATCTTGTTATTGTCGACCATTTTACTCGTTATACTTGGTTTTACCCATTATGTCGTAAATTTGATGTTCTATTTGTCGTTACTACGTTCAAACGTTTCGTAGAAAACTATTTTGCTACTACCATTCGTAGGCTTTACACTGATGGTGGCGGTGAGTTTGTTAAGCGTCATGAACTTGCTTCTCATGGTGTCACTCATCTTCTCGCCCTACCTTATACTCCCGAACACAATGGTCTTTCTGAACATAAACACTATCATATAGTTGAAACGAGTCTTACCTTGCTTCATCAAGCCCGTCTTCCTCTCACCTATTGGTCTTATGCCTTTTCCACTACTGTGTACCTCATCAATCGTCTCCCTTCGTCTTCACTTTGTATTCAGGTTCCATTTGTTCTTTTGTTTAATGAGTCTCCCAATTATGTTAAGCTCCGTGTCTTTGGCTTTCTATGTTATCCCTGGTTGCGTCCCTATGCTCCGCACAACATGCATTCTCGTTCCCGTCCTTGTATTTTCCTCGGCTACTCTCATCAACAGAGTGCCTACAAGTGTCTTGATCCTGTTACTATTCATGTCTTTTTGTCCCGTCACGTTGTCTTTGTTGAGTCCGAACTTCCTGGTCTCGGTCTCTAGGCCTTGCCTTCCTCGTCTTCTTCCAGTTCGGACTCGGTGCCTCCCTCATGGTTTGCCGCATTTCTACCTCCAGTCAACCTCATTGCTCCACCAACTTCTCCTCCTTCCCAGTCGTCGTCTCCGCTCGTTCATCCTCACACGCCGGCTATTACTAAGACACCTTCAGCTCCTACTGTGCCGGAGCCTACTACTTCTACGTCGGCCTCTCCAGCCACCACCGACACGAGTCCCTCCTCGACACACTCACAGCCGGCTCCTCATCCCATGGTCACCCGAGGTAAAAAAAAAACGCAAGCCTAATCCCAAGTATGCTAATGTTGTCACAGCTCCTGCCTCTCCATCGTTGGAACTGACGTCTGTCAAGGAGGCTTTGCTTCATCCTGAATGGAACAAATCCATGGCCGCTAAGAATACTGCTCTCCTGGCAAATCATACATGGGATCTAGTTCCACGTCCTCCCCACTATAATGTTGTTGGTAATCGTTGGGTATGGCGTTTGAAGTGCCACCCGGATGGGTCTATCGAACGCTTTAAAGCTCGCCTTGTGGCTAAGGGGTTTCATCAGCGTCCTGGTCTTGACTTTCATGAGACTTTCAGTCCAGTTATTAAACCAGTTACTATTCCGGTGGTCTTTGCTCTTGCTCTCTCCCATTCGGGGCCTGTTTTTCAGTTTGACGTCCATAATGCCTTTCTACAAGGGTCGTTGCATGAGGAGGTTTATATGTCCCAGCGTCCAGGATTTCATGACGCTAAGTTTCCATGTCATGTTTGTCGTCTTCATCAGGCTATTTATGGCCTGCGGCAGGCACCACGAGCATGGTATGAGGCTCTTAGTTCGTTCTTGGAGAGCTACGATTTCGTGAAGACACGGTCTGATGCGCCGTTATTTGTCCATCACCAAGGTTAGGTGACTGCCTATTTTCTCATGTATGTTGATGACTTACAACTCATGGGTAATACTCCTTCATTTGTGGCTGAGTTTCAGCGACGCCTGGCTACTCGGTTTGCTCTCAAGCATCTTGGTCCTGTTAATTTTTTTCTTGGCATTGAAGTTTTTCCGACGCCGTCAGGTTATCTTCTCTCTCAGCATTGCTACATTGTCGATATCTTGACTCGGTTTCAAATGCATGATGTGAAGCCCTGTCCTACGCCACTGACTTCTACTTCTCGGATGTGTCTCAAGGATGGATCTCCTCCTGCGGACACCACCCTCTACCGATAGGTGCTTGGCGCCTTGCAGTATTTGGTTACTACTCGGCCTGACATTGCATTTTCTGTTAATCGCTTGTCCCAGTTCATGCATGCACTCACTACTCAGCGTTGCCAGCATGTTAAGCGTCTTCTTCACTATGTTGCTGGAACTCGCACTCTTGGTCTTCGCATCACTCGCCGTGCTCTTGCTCTTGCGACTTTAGAGTTGGTATGGGTTCGTAATCTTCTATCTGAGCTTCATTAGTTGCCTTCGTCTACTCCGGTTCTCTACTGTGACAACTTGGTGCTGTCAACTTTAGCACCAATCTTGTCTTTCACTCTCGTCTGGAACATCTTGCCTTGGACTACTTGTTTGTTCGTCAGCTGGTCAAGTCTCACCAGCTTCTTGTGCGTCATGTTCCTACTGCTACTCAGCTTGCTGATTTGCTCACTAAATCGTTGCCCCTGGCTCGGTTTCTGCTGCTAAGTTCCAAGATTGGACTCGCTGATGCTGCCTCCATCTTGCGGGGGCGTAATAGAGTTGATTCGGTGTAGTTGTAGTTTCCTTGTAATACAAGTATTCCTGTCCTAGTTGTACATGGTTAGTACGTCTGTAATCTGGGTTATAAATACCCCTCTCTTGTTAATAATACAACACAAAATTCCCATATTCTCTACACTTATGCTTTTACATTTCGATTCTACACTTTACGATTTTATCCATTCACCACTTCTAGATATAATCGTGCTTTTGGTTACATTGGTTGTGTGTGATCGTGAGTTATTTTAAATTGCAAATATGAGTAAATTTCGAAAGTTCCAGCTTCGTATTCGGTGGAATGGTTGGGTGACAAACTCTCAAAAAGTGATCGCTTATGAAGATGGTGAATCCAGTAGGTTGAAAATTGAGACAAGATTCATGTGGCAAGAACTCTATTATATTTGTGCAAACAAGGTTTGTATGGTGGGGTAGAAAAGAGTTTGTATAATTACTTACTGATATCTAAACATTGGTGGAGGCGGTGTCATGGACAAATGAGTTGTCATCTCCGACAATGATGAGGTTAACCTTTTATTCGTGCATATTATTGTTAGTGGTTAGCACGTGTCAACAACTACCCCATCCTAGGACAAGTTTAACCTGAGATGGCATTGTCGTATAGTGGCAATCAAGGTCGTATTCTACTCGGGTCCTAGTACCCTAGCCTACTTCCCACCTCGTTGTTATCTAGTCAATTGGGTTGAAGGTTTGTCTGAAGGATTTGAGTTACTAGTTTAGAGATTGAATAAAGCTAAAAGAAGGTACTTCGGGGAACTATCCCTCACCCTGTCCTAGGGACTAGGGCTACTATGTAATGTCTAAATACTTAGGGTTTATCGAAAGTGGTGAGTGAGCTCATTTTCGTGGGCTTTCGTGGTTATCCACACACCTCCGAGTACGCCTCCTCTAGACCCATAAAAAGTCACCTCGATCTAGGCTATCGTATCTAGGGTATCAAGCTTGTAGCTCCTTTCAATGGATACTATCCATCTTCCATATCGAGATTTTATCCCGGGTTCTATCTAGGAAGGCTACCTATGGCAAGGGTTTGGTCGCCTCGACCACCATAGATCCTTATTCATACATCTAACCTCAATTTGCTTGATTGCTCATACTCGTCTAACCCTAGAATTCCATACCCAGTGTAGAAGCATAAAGTAGGCTAATAAAGAAGATTCAGACGACTTATCCAAACACAATCAAGGCTAGAATAGCAATAAAATCAACTACATAAACACATTCATTCATTCAAACCCTAAAATTTTCATACATACATATATAAGAAATTGAAGAATACTTGAGGTTGAGGAAGATGTCTCTTCTCTTCTAACTCCTTCTCCTTCCTTCAGCTTATCTCTTCTCTCTCTCTCTCTCTCTCTCTCTCTCTCTCTCTCTATATATATATATATATATATATATATATATATATATCTAAAACCATAAATTCTTCTCTCAAAATCATCTCTCTTGAATGGGGGAAAGGGGTCTTCTATTTATAGGCATCAGAGAACGGAGAAGTTCGCGGTCAGGCAGGGCAGAGATCACGGGCGGGATCTTCTATGGCAAGGCCGCGATCTTGCAACGCAGTCGTTTTGGCCTTCGAGAGGGAGGAGATCGCGAGTTGACTTCTCGGTCGTGATCTTTCTCACGGTCAAAATGCATTATGGCTGTGATCTGACTGAAGAAACTATATGTTTCTCCTCGGCTCCTTCTTCACGAAGTTCGTGCCCTAAGCCTTCCAATTCGCGACCGCAATCTTGGGATTCCAGGCCACGATCTTCAACTTGAGTTCGCAGGCCATGATCTTGGTCGTGATCTTCGCTTCTAGGACACGATCTTCGGTCTTTTGCCCCCTTTCTAAACTTGTGACTTTGTTTTGTACCTAATTCACATGTATCGTCTAAAACACCCTAAAATCACATCGAAGTCAAATAGGAACGAAATAGGGATGCAATTGACGATGTTCAAGCAATTATGCAAACGAAACAAACCTCAATATGAAGGGTAAATAACACCAATTTAGGTGTTATCAGTGGACTTCCTAGTTGAAAACAAGATTGGGCTTGCAGAGGTGTATGTTGAGACTGAGGATGTCGGTCATGGTAGAGTGAGTTAATGGCGGTGAATCCTCTTATTACCACCATTATTGAGACTGAGGATGTCAATCATGGTGGAGTGAGTTACAGATATGATGGCGGTGAATCCTCTTATTACCACCATTTTTAAGGTGATGGTGTTGCAGGAGGGTACGAATGAGGTGGTTATTCAAACAACTATGAAGGAGGTAGTTATGTAGGCGGCAATGTGGGAGATGGGGTACAATAGGAAGATTGACTCACTTCTACTATCACCCTAGGAAGTGGCCAAGTGTAACCACTTCCTAAAGCGTAGTATAGCGGGTTTGAGTTTTAATATCAACCTGGGTCCTAGATTTGATGACTACTCGGTGAATTCTTGTTATCTAGCAATGAAACTTTAATGCAAGTCTAAACTAACAAACTAACAAAGCAAGTAAACTGTTGTATTCAAGTTAAGAGAGGTCACCCGGATATGGTTTCCCCTAGACTGCAGTTAAGTCAGATTGCAATTACCAAGTTCAGTTTCTATGATAGTTATACTGCGGAAAGTTCTTAAACAGCCTGAAGTCTCGACTAAAGGTCTTCAGACCCTCTCAATCTGAGTCTCCAGCGTGCGACTAACCTCCACCGGAGTAAACAGATTGAGGCCCTATGAACAAAACCTCCATTACCGAAGTGAATTCGGTATAGAATAGTGAGTTGGCGCCTCGACTAAAGTCACCAACTCCCTACCTTCAATCAAGGATGCTCTATCAACCTAGGCAGATATTCTCATTCTAGGTTAAAGCAGAAACAACAGGAATTTGATCAGGATTCAAGTCATTCAATCATTCAAACCTCAATTGAACATAATCAAATCATAGAATCAATACTTGGGTTCATACAATCAAAGCCTAACATACAAATCTAGGGTTCTCCATACCCAGATGAATGGGAGAACTACTCCATGGAGAAAGAAGCAAAAGCAGAATCAGACGCGGAATTCATACTGTGAAGGATGGATTCATGCTTCTGGACGTTGATCGGCACTTCTCCAAGCTCAAACTGGCCTCTAATGGTGTTGAAGATCAAGCTAGGGCACTTGGAGACTCTTGTTCGTCGCTTTCTCTCTCTAGGAATCGCTCTATCTCTCTCAAAACTCGAATTCCCTTCTGTTTTGGCTGAAATCTGCTTAAAAGGGCATCAGTGGCCAAAGCACGGTCGAGGGCACGGCCGTGCTTTGCTCCAGCCCGCCCGTGCTTTGGCTAGGGTTAATTACACGGCCATTGTGTTGGGAGAAACACGGGCGTGTTTGATGATGGACACGGCCGTGCTTTCAGCCCGTGTTTGCAGCTTGAATTTGCCAAACTCAATTAGCTCTCGGCAGTAAAAGCACGGCCACAGAACACGGCCGTGTTCTGTTTTAGGTGTGCCCGTGTTTTGGCTCTAGCTCGACGAAATGACTTCCGAATGCCCCGAAACTCGTGCTTAGCCTTCCCTTTGACGCCTGGGACCTGAAATATGACAAAGTAGCACAACCCGGCGTAAAATAGGCCAAAAATACACGACTATGCCCCTCAAACGGATAAGAACTAGGGGCGCAAATATGTGCAATTACATCGTTATCAAAGATACTGCTCCACATCATGTTAATTCTGTTGAGCCCGCCCCATTTGTTGAGTCAGATGCCATTCAATGGCCGACTTGGGGTTCATAATGGTCTAACATTGAAAATATCATTCGGGTATCTAAGCGATCTGCATAGAGTCGAGATGATGATGTTGGCGGTGATGGTCGCGAGGATCCCACTACGAGATGCCGAGTTATCCTTTTGAAAGAGACAAGGATAGCGAAGAATATTTGGGTTCTGTGAGTGAGGAAGAGGATACAGGCAATGACGTTGGGGTCTGGGAGCCACCTACTCCATACTACACAAATATCCTTACTCATCCCTTATATTCTCATAACGAAGATCCCAACTTTCTCCCTATGCCAGTGTGGAATCTGACGGCTGATTTGGAGGTGGGAATGACATTTTCCACCAAGGATGTTGTTGGTGATGCTTTTAGAGAAGAAGCCATGCAGCGGAATTTTGAGTGGGAGTTCAATATTCTGACAAAAAACAACTCTGTGTCATATGCAAAAATGCTGGAGGCGGATGTCAATAGGAGGTGCGAGCTGCATGGATGAAGAAAAAGTTACTTGGATGATTGCACGTGTAGAAACCCTGGCGACAGGGATTCCGAAATTGGTTGCTCCAAATGAAATTGCTTTAGTGATCTATTTGGTAAGTGCCACTCAACGATGTGCCAACAAATTAGAGGCACCTTGCACAGCCAATTCTCTTGATATTTGGGATGCCTTATATTGTGCAACTCTTGGACATGTTTAGAAAATGGGTCCCAAATCATCTACAATCAACAAACATTTGCAATTAATAATCTCAATATCTACTCTAGTAGACACAAAACACAAAGTATGTACAATAATGGACATATGAATTATACCTGATTACACCAAGGCATGTCGAACTACTCACATTAATACAACAAACAGTGCTCGGGTTGATGGTCATTTATGTTTTCACCAACCCACCTAGTAAATAAATACATGTACGAAACTTAAACATCATTGCAATAAAATACATATTTACAAGGTTAAAGGTAAAAAAAAACTTACCTATCACCATAGGGGCTATCTCGTGGTGGTTCGTTAAGCACCCAATTGTCTGTTGGGCAACGGGGTGCGAATATCGGAAGATGCTCTGATGCCCATAGTTCGAGGAGGAACATAGCACCACCGGCTTGCTTTGTACTCAACCATGAGGATCCACATAACTCTCGATACACCATACCTAAAACAGCCAAATCCCAACTATTCAACCTGATCGTGTCCTAATCACAGAGGAGCAATGAGAGCCATATGCCATTTATCCACCTATGCGCCTTGTTCGGAAACAACACTCCACCAACCAAGGCGATGAGATAAACGCGGGCATACCACTCCACTTGATCTTCTTGGGTGAATGCATCCAACTCAACCTCATATGTTATATGATCAATGAGCCACAGGATTGATATTTAGCCGACGTGCAACGGCAAATGACTCCATCCCTCTATTGTCGTCGGCATATCGAAGCCACAGTGGTCCCTGACCTCCTTCTTGAACAGCCGAGTTACCATTGATGGCCTCTTCGGTGATCGACAAACTCAGTGAGGATGATGACATCTCACGGTGTGATCGTCATTTCCCCTAAGAAAAGTGGAAGGTATGTGTCGTGGGAACCACCTCTCTGACATAGCCGTGAGTAGCTCGTTGTTAATCTTCATCTTCACGAAACATCTCACTCTTTCCGGCCCTGCCCTTTCTAGATAGGGCACGAGTCGAGAGTCAAACTGAGGCAAGCGTGAGGTCCCTCTATGGACGATGGGAATAAGTGATTCCTACAAAAAAAATGCACAAAGTAAGCTTTATAACGACGTTTTAAAATAATTAAAAACATGTTTTTGAAAGTAGGGCGTGCTTGCCGGGTTGTTGTTCCAAATCACATGAGATCGATGATTTGCATACTTGCTTAAATATTGTGCATCCCTCGGGCCATGTTGGATATATAATCTAGGATCCTAAATATCTTATGCAATCTATCATTTCAATACAAGAAAAATAACATTATTAGATTTGTAAACCAATCGTGAAAATACAAAGCGTTCAAATACAATGAAAACTTTTTTGAGTGTTTTGGGCAAAATCATAACTATTCAAAAAGCAAACAACGTTAGTCATGGTTATTCTACTAGTACATTGGTCGTATAGCGTTCCGCCATGATTCACGTTGATAAATCATAAAAAACTATAAAAATATATGATGTACCCTAAGAGCCTCTTCATCTATTTTTTGCAGAAGCCGGATAGATGTTCGACTGGGTTTTTAGTGGGACAATATTTTTCAGAACTCAAGGAAACAGGATTTAATGTGGAAAATCGGACTTGGCCGCAACCACAGAGCTTACCCATATTCCTTGAGTGGTGGAGGAGAGGAAAGAAGAATGTGGTTGTAGTGTGAATGAAATCAGGGGGAGGGGTGGCAATTTATAGGTTTGGGGAGCGCCTTGATAGCGTCGGTTACAAGCGATCCGCGTATGAAGATAGGAGAGATAGCAGGTGGATCGTGGTCGTTGAAAGCGATCAAAGGCTAATCACCTGCCACAACAACGATATGCGCCTCCCCACTCCAAAACTGTGTTCCACGTTAGTGATCCGCGTCGCTTGTAACGGCCAATCGCTTCTCTCGGTTGCGATTCACGTGGATCGCGTCCTTTATAAACAACCCTGGAGGCTTGCCATGTTAGCGATCCAAAGTGATCGCGTTCCCTTAAAAGAATTCACTAAATCGCATCAGTGTAAAGCAATTTATGTCTTGATGGATTGGTTTTGTCGACCGCGATCTGGTAAAAACATGTGTAGTTTTTTTTATAGATAAGGGTGATATAGGTTTCATTTTTTTGTGTGATTAAGGTACTACTTAAGGGATTCGAACCTGGGACCTCCAGGTTCTAGGCTAGTATTATTTCACGCCCTCAACCTTTGATCCTTGCACTGCCCGCAAGACGTCTGAAAGCTCATCGAACCTTGCAATCTTCATGCTTTTGCTACATACTTCAGGGTCTACTGCTCGTGACAATCTCTTATGAGCCATGGCCCTTGCAATTTCCATTACTTTGTCAATTTTTTATCCCTTTCGTCCGACTTTCAATCATATCGCCCATTTCACTTGCGATGGCCTAAAACATATTTAAACATTAAAAACCTAGTAGAAAATGGCTCCAAGGACGATGCTAAACAAGTCAAACAACCAAGTCAAAGGGTAGTAGTGATGACAATTTGAACCCTCCTTGTCGGGTATTACCCGACTCGTAGTAGCGTGGGGCGGGGCATGGGTATCTATTTTTGAATCGCCTTGTCCTGCCCCGCCCCGTCTTGTTCTTAGCCCATTCTATATAAATCTCTTACAATATCCATTCATATTTTTATATTTTATCTTTTATTCAACTAGTTATACTTGATCTTTCAACTAGTTAGACTTAATTACCCATTATATTGTCAATATTTTTCATTTTCTCCTTGGGTTTATCGTAAAAAGTAAACTTTTGTGTGAATTTTTTTCAAATAACATGTAAGAGTGAGTCGACCCGTTCTGCATCGTACCAGCGCGGGTCTTACACGCCCCGACCCGTAGTAGCGTGGGGCGGGACATGGGTATTGAGGTACCAGCTCCGCCCCATTGCCATCACTATCAAATGAATAAAAACATGTATAGAATGGCTCGAATCAAGTGCGCTACTATAACGGGAATGGAGGCAACCTTGGAAGAGAAGTTGGACCAAATCATCTTACTAGACAAAGATGATGAGGTACCGGGGGAGGTTGATGCACCAGACATTGATGTAGTCAAGGTGCAAGGTCTTTGATGCTTAGGTTTAATCGGGCGACTGTTAGCTGAAAAACCCAAACATAAGATTATTAAAGATAGCTTAAACAAAAGCATGGAATCTGTGCAAGAGCTTTCAGTTGACAAGTTTGGGTGACATGTTGTTCGTTTTAATTTTTTGATATGGATGATCGCAACAAGGTTTGCTATGGTGGACCATAGCACTTTGAAAATAATATACTGCTTTTCAAAGTTAAATTCTTGATAAAGAAAAATGTACAAGCTGACTTGCACATGACGAAACTATGGGTCCATATCTGTGGCTTCCTAGCGAAGCTAAAGACGCAGGCAATGGAAGAGAAAATAGCAACTAGGTTTGGATCCCTCAACTGGTTGGATGATGGAACTGGAACTATGTGGGAAGACTACATGAGAATTAGGGTGTGTATGTCTATCAAAACCCCCTTAAGGAAGAAGATCAAACAGGATATAGGGGGAAGTAGGAGGAGTACCATGTGAAGTATGAAAAACTCCCGATGTTTTGCTACTCTTTTGGCAAAATAGGACATCCCAAGTTGAGATGACCTACACCTTTGAACCTTCCAACTGATTCTTTCGGCCCTAACCTGATAGCAACATACCATACACCCTGGTTATGGCTATCAAGGGCTGACAGGAAAGAGGATACAAAAGTCTGGAACTTTCTTAGACAAAATTTTGAAATGGAAAGTGTGAGATCCAATGATGGGGATAAGGACCCATGTCCCCTAAAATTTTCTCTAAGGAGAGACAACCCATGTCCATTTTATCTGATAATGGCCAAAAAAATATCCCCAATAGTAAAGATCTCATGCAGAAGAGAAAGAAATAGTCTATTTAAGTAAGGAAAAAGTGATGGAAGTGCAAAATAAGAAGGAAGGAACATAGATAGAGCTACAACAAACACTGTTGAAGATACTACGAGATACAACTGTTAAGAGTGGTCCCCTACAATCAATTCTAGAGAAAACACCACGGTTTCTGGTGAGAAAGAGGGGAGTACCACCTATGAACAGAAGGAGTAAGGTTTGGTGTAAGCAGGAACAACAGATATAGAGGACTGCTCATGTAGCTTAACTCACACCACATAAGTGAGCTATGGAAGTAACTTTAACGAAGAAAAAATAGGAAATAGAGAAGCACAGGGGTTCCAAAAAAGCAAAACACTAGTTTTTGAAGGGGTCAAACTTATAATGGCTGGTAACATTGTAGAGAAATAAGTTGGAATTGAGGTACAAACAACGATTTTGTATGAATCTATTAAGCTACCATTGTCGGGGGCTCGGGAACAACGTGGCAGTTGGTAAGGTGAAGACGATGTTGCGTCATCAGAATCCCGATTCGGTGTTTGTGATAGAGACACTTATATGATGGTGAGTGGGAAGAGAAATAGAAGGAGTTTAGATATGATTGCGGGAAAGGAGTGGTTGTAGGAAGAAATAAGGCTGGAGGTCTAATTATGAAGTGGAAAGAAGGAATTAGTATGGATTTAAAGGGGAACTCCATAAACTATAAGGACTTTGAAGTTTGTTACAGGAACCGGAAAGAAACATGGAAAATCACATGTATCTATGGGTGGCTAGAGGGGAATAATAAACATAAAACATGCCAGCTATTAAGATGGCTTCATAATCAAGTAGAAAAACCTTGGACTGCGATGGGGGATTTCAACCTCATCACAGACTATCTAAAAAAGAGTGAAAGTTGTCTTCCTGATGCAAGGGAAATGGAGTAGGGTGGAGTTGGAGGATTGTGAGTTGGAGGATCAAGGCTTCTCTTTGGAGCCTCTTCACGTGGGAAAACAATAGATCTGAAGCGGCTTACACAGAGGAAAGGCTAGACAGGGTGGTTAGAAACAAGAAATGGATGGATATGTATCATATGGCTAGGGTCACTCGCCTTCCAAGGTGTGGCTCGGATCATATCCCCATCCTCTTGAAATTGATGCCACAAGAAGAGGAAATCACTTGGGGATGGGCTTCTAAGTATGAATCGTATTGGCAAAAGCATGAGGATTGTAGGAAAGTGTAAGAGAAGGGATGGAATGCAATTACATTAGCCAATGTGATGGATAAAGTTCAAAGTTCTGAGAAAGAGTTAACAAACTAGAGCAAGGAAACCTTTGGCGCCCTAAAAACAAGTAGGAAGACGGACAAAAGGGCTTTGGCTCGACTATAAAAACAACCAAGAATGAAGACAGTCCAGTCTAAATAAAGAGTGATACAGAAGGAATTTCATGATATCATCTTGCATGAGGAAAGTAAATGGAGGCTGAGGTCGAGAGTTGTGTGGCTAAAGGAAGGAGATCAAAACACTAGTTACTTTCACCGCACGACATTAGAGAGAATGAAGTGTAATACTATTAAACAACTCAAGGACAGTACTTGAAGGCTCCATGTGGGACAAGGAAGTTACTACATTTTCCGTGAATTACTTTAAGGAACTTTTTGTTCCAGAAAGTAACATCCTCTTTGTGGTACAACCAAAAGTTACTGATGCCCTGAATGTCGACCTTCTACTTCCTTTAACAGAAGAAGAACTATGGTTGACATTAAAACATATGAGTCCAACTAAGGCTTCGAGATCATATGGAGTGCCATCTATACTTTTTTAAGAAGAAATGGGATGTAATAGGGCCATAGGTAATGAGGGATTTGAGGGGTTTCCTCGAGGCATGAAATTTTCCAAGAGAATTGAATCATACCTTGATTGCCATGATCCCTAAAATGAAGAAACCAGAATTTCCAATGGTGTATAGGCATATAGGATTATGCAAAGTTTTATACAAGATTATGTGGAAGGTGTTG